ATCGAGGAACATCTTGGGTATCTTCCGCCCTGGTACTCGTATCCACGTCTTCTCTCTGGGCTGCGTAAACTTTGCTGATATGTGACTCGGCCAAAGTGTGTTTTTTTGCCACCCTCTGTATGTAAGATGTTGTGCTTCACGTGTGACCTTACCGTGACAGTAGCGACAATTCCTTCCGGCACATTGGCTACAACTATCCCCATGAAGAAAATGAGCGCCTGAAAACTTGAAATGTAAAAGGCGTTATTCTTTCTACAGACGATCATTACTACATCAGTCAGCATGATTAGTGAATTGGCAGCGGTGCGTGGAAGGTTGCAGGCTGGTCCCGTGTTTAGATCAATATACACTATGATATTCCTCCTACTTTTTGTAAAAGCCCTCACTAGAACATGGAGGACTCACGACCCGCGTTGGTCCAGCCTTTGATGATAGGTCTTGATTTACAGTGTAAAGTCCGCCCATTGGGGAAGATTTATGTGCATGATTGGAGGGGGATGGATTGTGACGGATGTGTCAGTGTTGTCCCCAGTGGTTACCGCACTTTCACATATCCGAAACGGTGGAGCGGCGCAGTTCGACAACGGGAAGGGGGGCATGTTGCACTTTCGCTACTTCCCATCGACGTGTCGACCTTTGAGACTGCCTCTTCTCCAGTTGACAAGTTTTTACATGACGGCTGACGACCTTGCTCCAGCTTCACAAGAGTTCACAGGTTTCGCCAGAGTGAGACTTGTAAACCGGAACTAATGAAGCAGTGAAAGTGCAAAATGCCCCCTCCCGTCGCCGAACTGCGCCCTGTGGAGCTAAAGCAAAGCATGTACTTCGAACCTGTATCATGGTGTAACCGTATATGATCGATAGCACAAAGAATGTTACTCCAACGCCGAGTGCCACAAAAGTGATTACGTGAATAAAGTGATATATCTCTCTAGCGATAGGACTTGGTCCCGATGTGACTTGAGCAGTAAGGGCTGCTATTCGGCCCACCACCTAAATTGGATGAGATTTGCACATTCCGATAAAAGTTCAAATTGTGGTAGCTGTTTATATAGGCGTTATTGCTCTAATCTCTTTCACTGGATGTTATAATTGTGCTTCCTAGAAGTTATTCATGAAGAGCGGGACCCAGGGCACATCGATGTTGGATATTCCCCAACATGGGGTTTGGTCGCGGGAATAGCAGGTCGTATTTGGGGCTGAGAAAAGTTTATTTTGATAGTTGACTTTCCTTGTATCGCGACGTTTTAAAGGGGAGGGGGTGGTACCAACCCTCTCAAAGAGGGGGAGGGGTCGCACGGACTCGATCAAAATCGCAGACTAATGATGTGCCCTGGCGCGACATTAGGCCCAGCAACTTAACTATGAGTGTTTCGATTTGTGTTATGCCATTATTGCCTGAACACCCATTCCATGATCACCATGATCACCGTTCTAGGAAGGGTAAGCACGTCGTCAAGGATGCATCACTCACTATCAACCTTCTCGAGTGCTGAGGGCACCAAGTTGTTCTGAATCAGGTTTGTTCATGCCCCTCCTGGACTCATACTTTGAAAGCCAGAATCGTATGTAGTCACTCGCTCTGCTGTGCGCTCTCTCACTTTTCTCTTATGTTATTTCAGCCCTCTGTATTCTTTTACGTCAAATGATGAAAATCAGATGTGAAACGGGCCATTTTTGGAGTGTTTTCGGCGATATATTTTGTTTACTTCACAAGTGTGCCTTTAGCACTTCCATCCCGTTCATATTCCGCTATGCTTCGCTGCATTTCGGCAAAGGCGATAGCGCGAACATTTGTGTCTTGTGGGATGCAAAAGGGTTCTCCAACAGTTGGCCGACGTTGTCTGTTTTGTCGCAATCAGTCGGAGGCGGTGAGGGCGGGAGTAGGAAGGTATGTAGCAACCGATGGTGAGAACACCGTGGAAGGGTCAGTCATCCCCCTTGAATCGCGGCGCGACTGATCGCGATGACATCAACTGTACTTGCGTGCAAGTTTACAAGTTCCGCGTACACATTTCGTCCCGAGCGCCGTTATAAGTCTCAGAGCTCAGCCGGCGTAATGATGTTCACTGATGGCATTCCCCAAACCTTACGCCTTCGATATATCTCTTGTTCCATCCCGCGTTCCCTGCGTCGCCTGTATCGCGAGGTATGAAGGCGAACAAATAGAATAGGGAGAGAATGATAAAAGGGAGCACGTCCAACCTACTCGAAGGATGGTAAATATAAAGAACTGTGAGAAATCTTACTGTGTTGTCAGCGGTGAGAATGACGATGCCTCTACCACTTCCTTCGATTACGTTTGTTGAGAACATGGCCACATTCTTTGACTCTAGCGGATTATTGTGGGTGAATTCTGGCGTTCGCGATTGCGGCTCCGACTCTCCAGTGAGCGATGAGTTGTCCACCACCTAAACTTTTTCATGAAATCCGAATTTAAAACTGATAGGCTCTAT